CTGCCAGGGAGGAGGCCTGAGCTGATGCGGACAGCGCCCCCTCTGCCTGGAAGGAGGGCTTTTTGTGGGGTAAAACCAGCGAGTAAATAGAAGAACGGTGCAAGGCAAGACAAAAAAGCCAACAACGTCTTGCCAGGCAGCCTGCGTTTCCTCTCATCCACCATTTCGTTCGTACTCACCCGGAGCACGAGGTACGACCAGAGCCGCTGCAGCACCAGCCAAGCAGGGACCCAAATGTCTGATAGACCCGGAGAGTTCCCACCGCGCAGGGCTGAGGGCGATGCTGGAGCATGCCACAGGTGCCAAAAAACGGCTGTGGATGTTTAAGCTCCGCAAGACTTTCCTTCACATCATCTCTCCCATGTTTGACAGAGCCCACAGCGTGGGTTTACCACACTTCATGGGGCAAGTTCTGTTCGCTTCACTGAATGAGCTGCTACACCGGACACAAACCAGGAACTGAGCAGCCTGTTACACGCTCACAGTGATATTAAATAATAACCTTAAACTCGGCTGGAAGTCCCTGGCTTAAACTGGAAAACACTTTTAATGCTCGATCATAGCATGTCCGAGATGCTCATATTCAAAACAGTATCATAACACCACGCAGAGAAACTAATTACAACCTGGGGACACGCAGCTTTAAACGATGGGGGAAGGAACGTGGCTCCAGAGCAGCGCTGCTGCCTGCTCAGCCGCGCGCTGCATTAGCGCGACCATGGGCAAAATCAACCCAAAGCTCCGCTGCGCACCTCTGCCGGGCACGGCCGAGCGCTGGGTCTGCAGTTCTGTGGGATGCCCCCACCCACCACTCAAATAAAGGATTGAAATCAGCAGGGCAAAGACACTCATGGTCCCTAAACTCCAAAGTGGATTACAGCCCCCCATACTCGGCGTGGGGTTTTTTTAGTCAGTTTGGATAAATAAGCAGTGCCGAGGAGCAGAGCCGAAGCACAGAGCAGAGTTCGCTGCCTAACACCCAAACGCAGAGTTTCGGCAGGCAGGGACTGCATTACCGCAGCCTGGGCTCCAACGTGGGGAACTTCTGCTCTCCTCTCCTCTTACCCCTGAGCCCCATCGCACCCCAGACCCTCTCCCCCCCAAGGCAGCCTGCGCAGGGGTAACACAGCAGTTTTGCCTCCCCGGGGGAGCATTTCCCCCCTCCAGCCCCTGACACGAGAGGCACGTCTGTGCTGCGGAGCCGGTCCCCCGGCAGCCCTGCGGGCAGGGAACAGCGCGGGCTGCTCCCCAGCACACGGCTTGGGGCTGCAGCCGTGCGGAGCAGCGGATCCCAAGCTGACACTTCAGGAGAATCACAGGGCAAAAACCCAGACTCCCTAAATAAATGCTATCTGACCAAGTGTGCATTTTAAACTTACTACCCTGAACATAAATACACCTGGATAACTTTTCATTTACAAAATGTTTAAAACTCAAATGGGATTGTGCAGATAATTGAGAAAGGGAAACATTTTTCTCATTTTTATTTGCTCACATCCCCTACAATGCAGGCAGTACCCAGTATTTTTTATTCTTGGGTCTCCCTGAGCGTACAGGACATGCTGGTCTCGGTACAGGAAAAGCCAGCGCCTTGAGATTAGCCTTACTGACAGCAGCTTTCTTCCTCTGCCGCAGAGAAAGAGGAAAGAGTCCCACTGCTGGACTGCTGTCAGGAGGGGCCCCGGGATCTCGGTGGCATTTCTGCAAGGAGCGCTTACTGCAGGGCTCCAGGAGACCAGCCCCTCAGCGGAGGACGCCGGCAGGAGAGGCAGAGACTCTCCATGTTCCCGGAGCAGGGGCCGGCACCTGGCTGGGATCAGAGCTGAGCTCCGCTGCGCTGTGCCGGCGTGGGCAGCAACGTCTGCATCGGCTGTGCAGACACCACCGACAGCCAGAACGGATCAGGCCCTCAGCCAACCATTAGGTGAGGACGCTCACAAGTCACAAGCATCTAAAGAATAGAAAGTCAGGCTTATGTACTTGTAAATCAGCAAATTATTCCTAAAATGTTTGCTGTGGATAATGTTCATAAGCAAACTACTGATAAAGGAACCAACGCAAAATCTATCCCGCAGGGATGAACAGGATTCGTTGGCCTCAGAGGAAAACCCAAGCAAGCGAGGTGAGCAGGACCTGACCTGAAGTTTGGGCAGTTAACACCGCCTGCTGCTGCCCACTTGGTGCCTAACCCAACACCACCGCGTGGGAGGTCAAGCTCTCCTGGTCTATTGTTAAAGAGCACAGAAAATGATGCATTCAGACCCGAAACAAAAAGAGGATGGGAGCTCGCAGTAAGGCTTGCACTGGCACAAGTGCTCTCAAAGCCAATCTGGAGGGAAATACCCAGGGCAATTTACTTTTTTGCAGTACTTCTGTCTTGACAAAGCTATGATGCTTTTCTGAAAAACCCCTTGTATTAAAAAATTAAAGTTGTGCTGATCTATCCCATGAGAACTATTGTCTTAGGCATGAGATGCTGCCTGACGCTCGTCCGAAGCAGCCATGCTCTCCCGGCAGCCCTGTCTCACCAGCTTTCCTCCTTGCCTCTGCCTCCTCCAGCCCGGCATCGCCCCAGCGCCCGCCTTCGGCAGCACTCACAGTCCTGAGGGGCATTGTTAGTAGAGACTGACGGGACTCAGTTAAAATTAGTCAGGTAACGCAAGATATGGTGTCATCACGTCATCGCCCCACAGTTGCCAAGTTTCAGGAACATCACTGTCAGTCATGAAGTGCAACCTAACTGAAAGCAAGGAATTTTCAAACAAATTATGTTTAAACTGCACAACTGCTTCTGTTAGCAACTACCGCAAGAGATTTGTGAGTGTTGCCAACAAAAGCAATACCCTTCTGATAAGAGCCACCCTCCATACCCAGGATCTCGAGATGGTCTGGGTGGAGACTTCCTCTCCAAACCGAAGGACGTGACACAACAGAACCTGGGACAGATGCACGTGAAATACCCGGTTCGCAGGACAGCGTGTGCCGCCTGGAAATGGCGGATGTTGAAGCAGAGGTAAAACCTCACAAGTAACCACACAAGGTGTTCACATGGAAGGCATGGAACTCAAAGCAATAAAGTGACCAAAGACCAAAAGGAGCCTGGAAACAGCCCAGTGATGCTGGTGTCCCCGCCCCACAAAGCTGTGCTTAGCACATGTCCTGGCCGTGGCAGCCCCCACGACCGCCGTACGCAGCGGTGGGTGTTAAGCCAGGACGGCCACCTGCAGAGCAAAGGCCACCACGCTGCCTGCGACCGCAGCGGGGGTCACCCACCCAGCACACCCAGCACCCGCCCCTCGGCAGCAGCACCTTCCCACGCACCGTGACCAGGTGAAGTTGTGGTGGTTCCAAAAGCCAGGTACTGCACGCGTCGGGCTTAAATTGCTAGCACTGGGAACTCTTGCCTCCTTTTCCTTTGACTATAATGGCCCATCCTACCATTATCCCGTCCCGAGCAGCAACCCAAACTCCCTCTTTCACAGGAAGATGAAGACGAGGAAAACCCACCCCGTGCATCCCAGCCAACTGTGCAAAATTGCTCGCAGCGGAGAAAATTCCTGCAGTAATTGCTGAATGCCCTGGAAGTTAACATGAGGTTTGACTAATATTATTAGCTCAGCTTGCGCACAGGCACCTCCAAGCGCCAGCCACAACATCCGGAAGAGCTGGGCGGCTATGGCGAAGAAATATTTGCAAACATTCACTGGAACATGAAAGTGAATTAAGTCCGGCCATTTTCGCAGCCCTTACCCGCCTGTGTTCAGCCAACGCTGCAGCAAGTTTGTTTATTGCCGCTCAAACTGTACATTTCAGTAAATATTTCAAAGTATTCTC